GCACGTCCTTGTCCTCCCTGCAAGAATTAGGAGTTGTGAGGGGCTCGCTCGTTTTCTCTGGAGTTAGTTGCTTCCTCTACAGGGCCGTGTGGAGGTCGCCCCAAAGCGTGGCCGATCTCCTTTCCCGAATGCCCAACCCCCCTGTCCCGCCACGCGACCATCTCACCCGACCCTGGCCTCATCCCCACCTCCAATGCAGAGCTGAGAGCCAGAGAATTAGCTCAGGGAGCACGGCGGACAAATAAGAGTCCAGAGGAACCCGCCCCATTGTGAAACTGAAATACTTTCAACTACTCTGGGCACCCAAACCTATTTCAAGTGGCCACAGCCAAAAACTACCCTTGATCAAGCTAAAGGAGCCCCACCTCGAGCCCTGTTTGCAGAGAAGCAGTAAAAAAACAAGGGTACATCTGACAAGGAACGCGCCACACCTGAACCATTACAGTTCTACAGTGTGGCCTTGCCCGCAGGAATACCTATCCGTGGCCCAGGCCCCCAGCACGGTAGACCTCTTGTCTGCTTGTTCCCTCAGAGGTGACGAAGTACTGAGCCACCCTGCCTGGGGCACATTTACCAGTCCTTCCAGCCCACAGCCAGGAGGGGACAAACACCCCAAGAGGAGGGACGACAAACTTGAACCCTAAATCCAGCTGGCAGAGCCAGACAAGGGGATGCTTAACACGGGAACTCCCAAGGAAAATAATTTTTGTAGGTTCGTGGGAACAGCCAAGGTCTACGGACTTTCGTGTTTCATTTTATCTTTCAATGTGTTCTAGACTCAGATCCTGGTTTTTAATAAGAACAAAGAGCTGAGCTGAAGGACAATCTCTAGAGTTGTATCTAAGCTGCTGATTTAGAGGAAAGAGAGGACAATTTCCCCAAAATGTTCTTGTCCTCTGCAAGCCATGGTAGCTTGTTGGTACCCCTGAATCATCTAGTACTTTCCAGTTAGCAGAGCCCCCTTCCCCTACCTAAGACCACCACTGACAACCCGCCAAGGAGGCCCAGCCCTTCCTCCCCTTTCTAAATCCATCATTCTTTCACCCCAGCCCACCCGCTGCCAGACTTGCAGAGGACCTTGACCTCCGGTTCTACAGAGTTCTCCCACCTTTTCCAATCCCAATTTTCTTCCCTAGCTAGATAATGTCTTTTTGTTCATCTCAACATAATTACAGAACCACCTAGTTCTCCCCACCAAGGAAATCATGTACCCTCTTTGCTGATTACCCTGATTTGATCATTACACATTGTATACAAGTATCAAAATGTCATAGTATATCCTAGAAATAAGTATAATTATTACATACCAATTTAAAATAATTTAAAAAATCATGCCTCCTCTAAAAAAGCCACTGAACCACTGCCACCTCCCATCCCCCATTGAGATCAGCCTTGTATGTTCAAGCCAGGAGTGGACCACCCTCTGGTCTACTGAGACCAACAGCCAAGATCTCTTTACTTCCATTTAGCCCAGATGGGAAAGTGAGAATTCAATCACTGTTTTGGTTTTTTTTTTTTTAACATATTTAATGAGAACCTTGTCTATAAGAGCAAGTGTCAGAATCTCAGCAGAAAACAAAGACAGGAGTCTCCGAAGTATAGATTTGAAAATGGGAAGCTAGTTTGTCCACACAGACTGTGGACTTGAAGTTCAGATGGCAGTTTGCACAGGTGGATAATCAGCAATTTCCAAGACCATGTGCTACACAACCACGGGGCCCAATAAAAGGCACACTGAATTGTGAGTCAGAAGGTCCCCTTTCCAGTTAGGGGAACTTGGCCAAACCTCCCCTGAGCTTCAGGGTTTTCTGTTGTTGTTGTTGTTTGTTTGTTTGGGGGGTTTTTTGGGGTTTGGGGGTGGGGTTTGCAGTTTTTGTCAGGGGCTGGGTTTGAACACACCACCTCTGGTATATGGGACCAGCACCCTACTCACTGAGCCACAGACATCGCCCAAGCTTCAGTTTTCACATCTAGAAAATAAGGATCTTAATCCACACCTATCTCCCAGGACTGCTGAGAACATCAGATGAGATAATGTGTATATAATAGCTATGTATATTGTGAAGGCCCCTCAGATACCAATAGTGCATACAGGTGGCCTTAGAGACAGGGATTCTAGTGCAGGCTTTGCAACCAAGTTATTGTGTGATTTTTGTCTTGATCATCTTGTTTCTCTGGGCCTTAGTTTCCTCTCCTGTGAAATGAAAAGAGACTTTGATGCCCCAACCATTCACCACCTCTCAGGACCCCCCATTGGGACATGAGATAAGAACAACCACAGGCAAGGTCACCCAGGACAGGACTCAGAGCTGAATTGTGCAATGTAGGTGGAGTGTTCCTCTCAGCGTCAAAACCAGCTCTGGGTTGTAAACAAGCCACCCTTTTCTCCACGCTTCTGAAGTGACACCGAAGTTGGGGGCTGGGATGGAAAGGAGAATTCCATGTCCCTCTCCCCCCACCTCCTGGCCTTGCTCTAATGCTAGGCAGCATCACAACAGAAATCCACATGCCTGGTAATTGACTGATAGACTCACAGCCGTGTGTAACACAGTCTTGAGCCTACCGTCTGACCTTAAACTGCCCCCTTCGACCCTTCTGCCCATCCATGGTCATTGGAGATGGGGCTAAAGTAAAACCACCCAGAGGTCACAATGTCCCACATTTTTATCCAGATAGAGTCATGTTTAAAATAGCAACAAGGACAGACACAAAGAGAAGGGGAAAAAATCCCCAAAGCCTAATTTGACTTCTTTCTGTTCTTCTTTCTCACCCCGTGGCCTTCCCATATGTTCGCCCTCCTGGCTGGCCAACTTACTATTCATCCTTCAGGTTCCCGAGTGGCATCCCTCAGCACCAGGGGTAGGTTACAGCCTAGAGCTATAAGGCTTTGGTGGCCGTAGCCTTTGATACTTTCTGTCTGGTCACATTGCTTGTTTAACTCCATCTTCCTCCTCAACTACAAGCCCCAAGGAAGCAAAAACAGTCTGTCTTATTCACATCACTGTTTCCAGTGCCCCACACACCCCTGGCACGTGGGGGGTTGGTGCTCTGTGATATTTGTAGGATGCGTGCATGTGAATAAAAGGGAGAGGTCACACGCACTTTGCTCTGGGAAGGGGAGGATTCCTTAAGGGGCCGATGTATCTGAACCTCAGACCTTTCCCTATCACCATCTGCCTCCAACTCCTTTTTCTCCCAAAGCTGTCCTCTCTGAGTCACACAGCCGGATGAGAGGCATTGCAGCTGAACTGGGACCCTCCCATCCTTGGAGTGGTCAATGTCATTTCCTCCGCCATATAATCTTGGCCAAATAATAGCCACTTACCCCACCAGCTCGGTGGGGATGGGGTAAGGGCAAAAATAGAAATCTCCCCCTGCCCAAAGAAATACCTCTTTCTCCTGCTGTTGCCAAAAAACGACTTAAAGTTAAGTCAAAGTCCGTGATAATTAATGAGATTTAAAATAAAAATGTACCCAGAACATAAACTAAGTAACTTATATTCTCACTCTTGAATAAATTAAATTCAAAGAGGAGATTCTGGAAATAGCAGTAACTTATTTAGCATAGCAGTGATTTGTATTTGCATAGCATTATAACAGCATTATCTATCTTAGTTCATCTCACAGCAACCCTTTGAAGTGGGCCAAAGCAGCATTATTGTCACCCTCATTTTAGGACCTTGAGAATCGAAGCTCAGAAAGAAGATTGCTTGATTTGCCTCAAGTCACACAGACTCTGCCAACCCATAGTTAGTAAGGAAGAAAGAAGATTGCTTGATTTGCCCCAAGTCACACAGACTCTGCCAACCCACAGTTAGTAAGGAATGGGGTCAAACCCAGGCTCTCTGACTACTTCTGCCCTATCTGCTACCTCCCTGAGGAAGAGAAGAGCTAGTTGGAAGTCCTGGGGGTGGCAGCACAGTAAGAACCACCTGCTTCACTGCTCAGCCCACCCCCACCCCCAGGGTCCCTCTGTTCCCTGTGATGTCATGTTTACTTTCTCTCAGACCCCAGTTGGGCCAAGCGGGCAGTGATGTTACTGTTACAGACTGCATATGACCCGCCCTGTGTTCTGTACTTTCCTAAGAGATAAATTTAATGAGAGATTTGGTTTCCAAGGGGGCTCATCAAAGCCTGGGAAAGAGCTCAGGTTATAGAAGCTGCCCTCGAGTTCAGGTTCCACCAGGTACGCTATCTGATCTTGATTTCTTAGAGACTCCTTGAACTTCTGGTAACAAGAAAGCATTGAGGCCTTTTTCACAGAGCATGTGAAGTGAAAACCTAGACACGTTTGTTATTGCTATGTGGGGACAAGGACCAGACGTCCTGATGTAAGACAGGGGTCACTGGGAAATCAGCTCTTTCTCTGGAATATAGCCGAAGAGGACTACCCCTCCTGGGTTTGGAGTGAAGAGAAGGAATTTAAGCTGCAGAGTCTTTGAAAATCCCTGAATAATTACACATCAAGGCTTTTCGATGTGTCCCTTGGGGACTTCACAATACGTGGATGAGCACAGCTTTAGGCACAGATGCGTCAAGGGATGGGACTGATCAACTCAGACACAACGACATTCAAACAAGTGACGCTATTTCATCAGAGGCCTCCATGTTCTCTCAGAGCCAGCAAGGCAGGGAAAGCAGCCGCCTGGGACTAGCTTTTTGGCCCACCTCTCCTGCTCTCCTG